GATGGTCAACATGGGCCTGGAGGGCGTCTACCTTGAAGACGACCGAGATACAAATTTTAACGGTTCAGTAATAATGCCGCCTTCCAGCTTCAAAAGCGGATATCGGGGACCAGCTTCAGTTGTCTACGTTAATGGAGGAACTGTTTACAGCGAATCAATCAAAGATCCATGTAAGTTTGATTTCTTTTCTTATTATTTTATTTTATTTGGTCGAGCTATAGCTCGGACATTCATGAGTCTATTACGCCAACCATCACGCTCACTAGAGTGGCATTCTGTGTCATAACATAGGTGATCAATGTTGGTGCTTGCTGGGCGGCCAACTCGTCTTGCTCCATGGCTCGTTTTCTAGAACAGTAGATCACTCGCGATTTCTTGTCTTGTTCTGCGTTCGCGTAAGATTGCAGAAATATCAGGGATGGGTCCATACAGTTGTGATTCGGTTGGATGTAGTCTCCAAGTACAACTCTCAGCATCCAGGTGTAGGTTCTATCAAGCTTAGACTGTAGGGTTTAAGTCCAGGCAGTGGCACCGTACATTAAGACCGCTCCTATAACCACCGTGTGAGGTTTTCTGGTAGATCAGATTTCCAGATTACGTCCATCACTAACAAATTCTAGCGGCAAAGAAGAGGTAACACATGTCTTTTATTTTGATACAATAAATATGCTTGTTCTTCCAATCCTTAGCACGTACGTTACGCCTTGCCAAATCGTCATAAATAATGTACCATTCCGTTTGGCCGCATGGAAAGATGGAAAAGTATTAGAGTCGCTATTCGGTTTTAGTTAAAGAAAGAAATAAAGAAAGAAACGCCCTGCTAATACCTCATAAATGATGGACTATTCCGTTTAGAAAAACGGAAAAGTCATATCAGAGACGCTGTTTCGGATTCGGCGAGAAAAGAAAGAAAGACAAAGGAGGCGATAACGCTCTCATTTTGTTTAACGTCTGCTTCAGTGAAATGGAAAAACTAGTCAATTTTGATTTTTTTTTCATCTGTAGCCTCTTCCTTCTTTAAATAATGACCTGCGTTCATACAGATGATTGTTATGGAAATATTTTTTTAAAGTTGTTCAAATATTTAACCACGAAACAAGGGAAATTCCATGAGTATTTTATCATCGTGGAACTTTATAAGGAGCTCATTCAATTCTTAACATGTGGATTATGATTCGTCAGAAAATTAAAATTGGAAAACCGTGAAAATTTTCTGTGTGTGTTAAACAAACACAAATGTGCCTGATCAGGCTTCTGCAATGGAGAGTAGCTAGCCTCCCTAGTAGAGGGGCAACCCTCGAATATGAGTGGCTGTAGCATTTTACATAGAGATAGATCATTTCTTTTGTTAATATCTTGAAATCTCCGTGAAGATTTTTTTCCATTTATATTCAGGTTCTTTTATTATATTTTCTTATCTCAAACTGGCTGTCATAATTAACCTTTCTTTACTCTGTTCTCTTCAGTATAGCCCGCTGGTATTTCAGTAGCCACATATTCTTATATTAATGTTTTTTTCTTTGTTCAGTGGCCTTGCATTTGAAGCATCCTGGGAGTACGTACAGTGCCCCAGCCTACATAAAGGGCAACCGACCCGAATCTCTATATGGAACAAGCCGCGTACTTAAGGTGACGCCTGAACTCACCGGGCGAATTCTTGCTGACCGACGCCGGACACAGTCCGAACACAACTATCCAGTGGGAACGTTATCCCGGCCACGTTCTGAGAAGGGCAGTAGCATTTCACGTAAGTAACACACACACACACACACACACACACACACGTATATATATATATATATATATATATATATATATATATATATATATATTATAAATTAATTGATTTAAAATATGTTTTTTTTCGCTACACAGTTCTGACCATGTTTCAATGGTTAGAACTGTGTAGCGAAAAACATATTTTAAAAATTAATTTATAATATTAATGCTCTGTAAATTTACATTGGGCACTATTTTGTAAAAATAAAAATATCTATAAGAACACCGGATTATATATCTTACTGTTCTTTCTTTATATATATATATATATATATATATATATATATGGTTTCACATAGCGGATCGCAGTGTTGCATCCTGCTTGAAAACGCATATTTTTCTTTAATCAGATTTCTCGAATATTCAGGCCGGTAGATGAAAATAAATAGATATACTGTTTAATAAATAAACGGGGCGTTTACTCAAATACGAGTATCAGCTAAAAAAATGTTTAAGTAATCAATATAATCAATGCCAATGTCAATGTGTCACTGTGTCACACTTTTTCAATTAAAGGGACACAACTCTCTAACTTTCAATAGCTCATGTTACAGAAATTTTGGATTCCCAAATTTTCATTACCTCGATTGTTTTCAACGATTTTTTTACATGATTTTTTGCGACGAATTTTTTGTGCGATAACAATTTTTATAACTTGGAAAATTAATTTGTGAATAATCGAAATTAATTGCGAAATCCAGCAAAAGTCACCCATGAAAGAAAAATAATTGTTTGTACGGACAGTAAGGGCCTACGTACATCAAGTTGTCATTAAATTAAGTGGCGACAGAAGAATTATCGTTAAACTTTTAAAAGGTAAGCTTAAATGTTAATGCAATACTTAAATGCAGCGACCAATTCTGAGTTCTTCTGTAGTTTATTCTTGCCTATCGCATAAGACAGCAGTATGCACTGCAAAAAGAAATCTACGCCAACAGAGGACAAGATTGCAATCAAAAGAGCCAAGGTTGCAGCGAGGAAAAGAAAGTCCTATGCAAATAAAACCCAGATCAAACGGCAGCCAGGAGAGCTTCCAATGATGAGAATATGCAAAGACCTGGGGACTCTCAAATTCCTGAACAAGCCGTAGGCTAAATCAAGAGCCCTTCGCAGGTGCCCGATAGAGCGACTTTTAAGCTAGTATATATATATATATATATATATATATATATTTTAAGCTAGTATATATATATATATATATATATATGGGACAAAGTGGAAAAGCTATTTTAAGCAACAACGCGTTTCGCCAGTGTGTGTTTTAGGTCACGGTTTCTTCAGGTCGGAATGAACGCCCAAACTGTTTATCAGGAAAATGCGCTGGGATTTTTTTTTAAGATAAGAGAAACAATAAATTAAATTACCTTATCAGATGCGACAACCATAAACAAGACAGTCTTTTTTCTTTATTAGAGCTGTTGGTGTCTGTAGGCCACACACCAAACGAGACATCAACAACAACAGAACAGAGGCAGAAATAAAATAGATTGTACAAAATGCCCTATGGTGTATATCGGTAAGACATCTAGAAAACTAAAAAGAAGTCTATAAGAGCTTCGCAGACAAATGCTGTATAACAGCATTTTAAACTGACTGTAATAAATCTGACCTAAATGCCAGTCTGATCAGGAGTGAAAAAGAATCATTAAGAAGAAAATGTATTGCGAGTGCGCTGATCTCAGAATTCTCGCAAATAAACCCACGACCAGGCTCATACATTATAATACCGATTATCGTAAAAGCAATAGTACCACCATGCGGTATACGGGCTATTAAGGAAATAAAAACAGAGATGTACTTGAAGTGGGCTAATTTAAAATTCAGCAGACACAAACGGCTCTAATATTGTTATACCGGAACATACCTATTCTACTGTTAATAAACTCTCCCACATATAATAAGTAGTAGCGGTCGCCAGGGAGGTCAGTGAGTTGTTGAGTCAGTCGATGTCGGACGTTAAAGTATCAACCACCACAACTAGATTGCTGCGTCATTAACTATTATTTCAAGTTCCTAACGTTTTGTACGTCGAACCCTTTTAGGACCGACTTAGTGAAATACAAGCCTCCACTGTGAAACTACTCTACAACAAATATGAAAAAAGAAAAAAGTAAAAATAAAAATAAATACTTTGTGGTTTTTGGTCGTCGGATCTGATGAGGTAATTTATTACCTCTCTAAACCTAAAAAAAACCTTCCCTTCTCTTTAAACGCCCAAATCTTTCGAATTTTGACTGAACCAGTTCCCATGTATGGATCAGAAACTTCTTCGACTTGAAAGGCAACTGGATGGAAATCTACTTAGAAAATTCCAGAACATCAGTTGGAGATCCCATTCAACGCTTAACACGATTTACGGAGAACTGAGATTAATCTCTCTTAATCCCAAACAAAAGCGATTACAGTTTGCCGGCCACTGCCACCAAACGGACAGAGAAGGTCGTCTCATCTACTTCTATGGCCTCCTTCTGTCTTCTCATGAAAATTAACTTTCCCCAGACACTATAGCTTTATAAAAAAAAATCTTGAAGAGAGCACATGAAAATTCATCCTCACGTCAACTTTTCCTTAAAGAGCTCAATAATGTAAAACAGACGTTAGTTAACAATGGTTTTCCTAACTACCTCATCGATCACCAGATTAGACTACTTCTTTTTAAAGTAACTAACAGCAATACGGAACATACAGATAAAACAATATCATTTATAAAAGCCAAAGACATGTTAGCTATACGCATGACGAATTTTCTCTTTGAAATATCATAAAGAAATACACAACCCCAGTCGACCATAACGAGAAAATGAAATTATCTATACAAAAAATTTAAAATGGCTAACCTTAACATAAAAATAACAACATATCCGCAAAATCAGTTTTTACACATTTTGTGTCTAGAAAAGAAAACTCTTGTACAAATACAACAAAATAAATAAAAAGCTTAATAGCAGTAAATTGTCAGTCGTCTTTAACGAAACGATACACACACACACACACACGCACACACACATATATGATTATGATTATCTATCTATCTATCTATCTATCTATCTATCTATCTATCTATCTCTGACAGTCTGTTCATATCTATCTATCTATCTATCTATCTATCTATCTATCTCTGACAGTCTGTTCATATCTATCTATCTATCTCATTCTGTTTATTATCTATCTATCTCTGACAGTCTGTTCATATCTATCTATCTATCTATCTATCTATCTATCTATCTATCTATCTATCTATCTATCTATCTCAGTCTCTGTTCATTTCTTTCTTTCTATCTATCTATCTATCTATCTATCTATCTATCTATCTATCTCTGACAGTCTGTTCATATCTATCTCTGACAGTCTGTTCATATCTATCTATCTATCTATCTATCTATCTCAGTTTGTTCATATTTATTTTCAATTTCCTTTGCAGGTTCCAGAAGCACACAAGACTTGGGAGCTCTTTAAGAGTTCTTCCCAAATATTTACCTGAATTTTTCATCTTTATTCTACAAAAAGGAAGTGTGTGAAATCTATTTTTTGTCACGAGGGTGGCCATCCAGAAGGTGTCATCTCATCAAAATAAGAAAGCTACTGATTTTCAACATTATGCATTTTAAATAATTACTACGATAAAACATTAATATTTTTAGGGGTTCTTTAGCTAAAAATAAAAAATCGATTGATAAAGAGACACACATACATACATATAGAGAATTTTTAAAAACTTCCTGTGAGATAAAAGAAAGGAAAAATGGGGTCATTTATTGCGTCAATATTTTTTTTTTTTTTTGCATTTTACTTTCTTGAAGTATTACAGATTAGAAAGATGACGAAAGAGAAACGGAGTGTTGTGGATAGGAAGAGAGGAAGAATATGGAAGGAGAATTCTTCAGTGGGTGGGTGATCCAAAAAGTGAACCGGAATTTGGAACACAAAGAAAGAAATGAGAAAGACACAATCGAAGAAGATGTGAAGAAAGATTTGTCGAAAAGGAATGAGGATAAAATCGAGAAAGAATTTCGAATAAGAGAAAGACAAAAAAAGAAAAAAAAACAACGGAAAGAAAGAAAGAAAGAAAGAAAGAAAGAAAGCAAGATGTTAAAAGTGTTGAATGTCTCATGATAAATAATAGTTTTGATCGCGTGGAAAATGAAAAGAAAGAAAGAAAGAAAGAAAGAAAGGAAGAAAGGAAGGAAGAAAGGAAGGAAGAAAGAAAGAAAGAAAGAAAGAAAGGAAGAAAGAAGAGAGAATTAAGATTGAGAGTAGAATGAAAGAAAGAGAGGCAGAAAGAAATATAATTAAAAGCGGAAATAAATTAAAAAGAGTGAGTAAAGAAAGGAAAGAAAGAAAGGAAGAAAGAGCGTAAAAACAACCGGAAAAGAAAGAAAGAAAGAAAGAAAGAAAGAAGAGATTGTAAGAAAAATAAATTAAAATAATGAAAGAAAGAAGAAAAAGCTAAGAGAAAGAGAAGAAAGAAAGAGATTGCACAAAGAAAGAAAGAAATGGACGAACATTACAATATATAAGACGAATGTCACGAAATCACAGCTCCGAATTAGGAAAATCAATCACTCTATCTATCTTTCTCCATATATATATATATATATATATATATATATATATGAACACTCAAAATTATAAACACTCAAATTAAAGACATAAATATAGCGATTATGAAAGCAGCCGGAAAAAAAATGCACCCCAAAACAAAGTAAATTCAAGAAAGTCAAGAAAATGATAACAGGCTTAAAATAATAATAATAATAAAAAAAATATTAAAAAGTTTAAAAATATATATATATATATAAAAGAGAAAGTATTTTACTAACCGACTTTATTTTTTTTGTACAGTTTCTGTTATATCTTCTTCATAATTGTTTTTTTTCACTTTTTTAAACTATTTTCTCATTCAAAAAAAAAGAAGACAGTTCGCATAATAAAAATGAAAAAATACTTTTAATACTAATTTTATTCTTTTGTTATGTGCGTGTTCATTGTACATATATCTTTTGTATTATTAATGATTCAAGAAAACAACGAAACTCCAAATGTGAATCAACAAGTATATATTGAAATAACATACAAGAACAAAATATACAATAATTTGTATTCAAGGGAAAAGAAGTTGCTTCCATTTTACCGTATTTTGATTTGTAATTGATTGTTCGAAAAAAAGTTCTCTTTAGAGAGAAATTTTCAGAACAAGTCTGTTGTTAGAATAGATGACACAAGAATACAATTGATCAGAAAGTGTGTTGTGTTAGAGAAATCAACAGAGTCCTGGTTGATTGAACTTGGCTGAGTCACAGAGAGGTATGTATATATGTATTACAAAATTCTGTGTCTGTGTGTGAAATGTTGTGAGTAAAGTCATAGGTTTGTGTTGACAGGCGAAATTTGCTGGACTCTACTGGCGGCTTGTGAAAAAGTCGCCTCTTTTAAAGCTACAGGTAGGCTTCCAGCGAAACCGCGGGAAAAGCTGATTTTGCACTAAAATGTGTGTTTGGTTAAAATTTGACCAATCGCTAAATTTGTACTAACGAAACAATTAAGCAAGTTCAAAACCGAAATATTCAAAGCAACGACTGCGATGGCTAAATTGTCCTATAGAAAGGCAGTGTTGATTTATTAGCCAATCGCAGACGAATAAAATGTGGGCGTGGAAAAAAAACATAGCAGTCGCTACACCTTTTCTTTCAAAAAAACAAAAAAAGAAAACCGTACATTTGCGTGTTTTGGAAAGACGACACTCATCACACACACTCGCATATTTAAAAACTGTATATAACAAAGTTGTTATCAGGGTATGGTACGGGTGATATACTGGCCCGCAAACAAATATCGAATGCCGGAAGAGAACAACAAACAAAACGAAAACTTGAGTAAAAGAGAGAAAAAAATTATATTGCCAAGTTTATTTCCGTTAAAGAAAATGCACTAACAAATATAAGGTTACAGTGCACTAGGCAAAAAAAAAAAAAAAAAAAAATCTCTGCATGTTCATATAGAGGAAGAGAAGAGTGTTCTCCTGAGAAGGACAGTTATGGGAGTCATTGAAAAGTGTTGTCCTGAAAAGGACAATTTTATAATCGCTGAAGAGTGTTGACCTGAAAAGGTGTTGTAGAGTAGTTTTCACAGTGGAGGCTTGTATTTCACTAAGTCGGTCCTAAATTAGGTTCGACGTACAAAACGTTAGGAACGTGAAATAATAGTTAATGACGCAGCAATCTAGTTGTGGAGATGATACTTTAATGTGCGACATCGACTGACTCACCAACTCACTCTGAGCCCCCTGGCGACTGCTACTTATTATCTGTGGGAGAGTCTATTAACAATAGAATAGGTATGTTCCGGTATAACAGAAGGACAGTTTTGTAGTCGCTGAAGAGCATTGTCCTGAAAAGGACAGTTTTGTAGTCGCTGAAGAGCGTTGTCCCGAGAAGTACAGTTTTGTGACCCCTGAAAAATGTTGCCCTGAAAAGGAGTTTATCGCATATAATTGCCGCTGGCGAAGATGGCTGTCTGGAGTTGGAGGCCTGCTGAAGAGGGCTGGATCTACGGCTGATGATGGCTGGCTGACTGGCTGGAACTGATGCTGATGACTGAAAACGTGGGCCAGCTGTCGATTGCTGGAATAGATACTAAACTTGGATCCTAGTCATCTGAGCCATGGATTCGTCCTTTTTAAGTTCATAATTTGTTCTTTTGGTTCAAGTACTTTCGACTTTCGCAGTCATCATCAAGAACCGATGTGGTGTCTGTGTGGTAGGTAGAATTCCTTTGTTGGCATCCTGGTATTTTTTGGGAAGCTGTAAATCTGAAATGGTCACGCGTGACGTCATGGGCAACGGCTATTGGGAACGAGGCCGCATAAAAAGATCGTGATTTAATTTTATTTTATTAATTAATTAAATTCTTTTTTTAATCAAAAGTGTTTGGGCGAATAGATGCTGTGTAAATATACCTTATATATATATATATGAGTCAGTGGTGCATTGTGAGTGGTGTAATCTATTCTGGCGGTTATTTTTGTGGGAGTGGCTTGTTTGTTTATTTATTTATTTGGTTGGGTTAATTTATTTTCATTTTCATTTTGCATTATTTATTCTTTTCGGTTTTTGATGGTTTGTTAACGTAGTAAAAAAATTGGGGGGATTTGCTTAAGTCGCTTATTTAATAGTTTGTTTTGGTCTGGGAAGATAATTAAAATATCAATGAAGACGACAATACCATTACGAGAAATAAACTTGATAAGTCCTGGGACGAAACCGGTTGCTCTTTTTTTTAGCGTTTTAAAATCCCATATAAATTTTGCTTATTCCTAGCTATCATTAAATTTTGTAGCATGAAAAACTTATATATATATATATATATATATATATATATATATATATATATATATAACTATGAACCTAAAGAGTCAGGTAAGCCTACCTAGGTTTCACCTACGCGGATCGTCAGGGTACGTACCCTGATGATCCGTGTATGTGAAACCTAGGTAGCTTTACCTGGCTCTTTAGGTTCATAGTTAGATTTGCTCTACTTAGTGTATTGAGCACTTTGCTTAGTTATTTTTGCTTTACTCGTTTTGGAGGTTTATTTCTTTGGACTCTAAGCTTGGATTCTGGATGATAGTTATCGCTTCAATTTCATGTTCTTAGTTCTTTCTTTTTTTTCATCCCTTATTTTTCCTCGGGTATTGGGATGTTCCTTTACCAGACGAGTATAATTACTTATATATATATATATATATATATATATATATATATATATAGTTATTTAGTTTATGCAAAACTAGGTAAGATAGATAGATAGATAGATATGAGCAGAGGCTGGAATATATATATATATATATATATATATATATATATATATATATAGATAGATAGATAGATAGATAGATAGATAGATAGACAAAGACAGATATGAGCAGAGGCTGGGATAGATAGATAGATATGAGCAGAGGCTGGGATAGATAGATAGATAGATAGATAGATAGATACGAGCAGAGGCTGGCATATATATATATATATATATATATATATATATATATATATATATATATATATAGACACAGACAGATATGAGCAGAGGCTGGGATAGATAGATAGATAGATAGATAGATATGAGCAGAGGCTGGGATAGATAGATAGATAGATAGATAGATAGATAGATAGATATCCAAATTAGGGAAAGAACAGATGGAATAAAAATCCACAACGCTTCCCATTTACTTTTTAAAAAAGTGCTCAATACAAAGTAGAGCAAAATGTTATTATAATATTTTTATTATAATAGATTGCAATAAAAACATTTTACATCGCTACACAAAGACTTTCATGTTTCAGTACTAAGATTTTACTTCTTCAGGCGATGGTAGATAACTTGCGATAAAACTGATTTATTTGGGAAATTTAAAAGCAAATCGTTACCTCTTTTCCGAATTTTAAAGGTGGAGGAGCTAAGGTCAGAATTAAAAATATACTTATGGGTATGTCTAGATTAACTCATTATACGCCAGATCTACGCCAAAATATAAAAATAAGGTCAGCGGGTAGAGGTAGGTCGGTTATTTTTACATGCCAAGAAAGCTGATGCTTAGACATGTCATCCAACGATACTAGGGAATCATTGCAGCGACAAATGTATTAAGGATTTTATACTCAGGAAGATTCTTAAAGGGGCCAAGAGGTAAAATTAAAAATATGGAAACATCTATATTCATTGCTAATTATACTGAATAGACAGTAAAACATGGCAATATTAAAGATGAAGAAACCAAATAAATGTTGGGTGGACCATAATATACTAATAAAATAATGGCTGTGCAATTGTAAAACGTAATTATTTATGAAAATATTTTAAATTATATTTTAAGGCAAAACGCCGGCATAACACCGTTAATTCATTTCTTTGATTTAACAGATTTTTATTGTTAGGAAACTTTATAATATGCAATTTTTCTTGTAAACATAGGGAATATAGATCTTATAAGGATTTACGAATTCTAGCTATTTTTAATATTTTCATTTTACCGTAGGAGTTTTGTTAACTTCTTTTAAATGCCAAAAATATTTTGAAAGGGACGTTCTGTTACGGTACGCATTGTTGTTGAAAGATAATGTGTTGATACCACCTAGTATTAAAGGAATTTTTGGTACTACAGATAGATATATACATAGATAGCGAAGTGAATGAGATTTTTTAAAATCGGTATCACCCCAAGCAAAGCAGTACAGCCACTAGTATGCAAGGGGTTACAGGGTGGGGAGGAAGTAGGAACAGAAACATTAGCAATGAGCGGGAAGAGAAAAGAGTAATCAGGAGAACAGTAGAGAACGATTGATATTCCATTTAAATTTTTGCAGATTAAAGTTGGTTGGAAAGCATGGATGCAGGTGGGAGTTCCGCAAGTGAGAAGTGCGAGATAAGGAACTGTTAGCATAGAATTTACGGCTACATCTAGCTAGCTCAACTGTAAATTGATGAGATCTCGACGCCAGTCTAGTACTGCGCTTAAATTCAAGAAGTCTAGGTACCATGGCGAAGAGCTCATCTGAACAATTACTATGAAAGTATTTATATAAAAAAAATGCACAGAGAGGCAATCTTACGATGGTGGGGAAGTAACTGAAGCCGAGCCGCCAGATCAGGACTAATAATATTGCTGGTTCTTCTCCAGGTAAATAGCAGGTGCACCGGATCATATATAGCAGTAACATTCTAAGCATGGACGAATGGTAGACTTATAGATATGTAAGATAAATTCCGGAGAGAAAAATTCTCTCGCCCGGCACAGTGAATCAACTTTCTTAGCAGTTGATCTATCGATGGATTCAATATAGTTTTTCCCCCTTAAATCATGAACTTCATGGACTTCTTTACTACTGGATCTATTTCTTACCACCTCTCCTTGCTCTTGTTGAGCTTCACAATACTGCCTTCTTGGTAACTCAGACCACTCTGTGGTAGCTATTGATATCAATTGTGCATGGGTAGGTGTCCCTGCATGTATATCTCATGGAGCAGAGGCTGGAACATATATATATGTCATCGTTGGATGACATGTCTAAGCATCAGCTTTCTTGGCATGTAAAAATAACCGACCTACCTCTACCCGCTGACCTTATTTTTATATTTTGGCGTAGATCTGGCGTATAATGAGTTAATCTAGACATACCCATAAGTATATTTTTAATTCTGACCTTAGCTCCTCCAGAGCAGAGGTTGGTTTCACAAAGGGCAAAGATATCTGGTAACCATTCCAGGAGAGAAGATTCTATGCTGTAGAAGTTTGAATGGATACCATGAATATTGGAGAGAGAAAGATTGTCGGGTAGGTGGTTTAGTTTTATTTCTTTGTGTTGTGATTTCCATGAGATGTTTTGAGGAGCGAGAAGAAAGACCACCATAATTATCGCTGTTGTCAAGGGCAATACAGGCCAGCCAGTACACGTCTGAAAGGAGCTGCAACCAGTCACTTTTCTGGACGATAGCATCAGAGTAGTCACCGGCCTCTTGAAACAATTTTCTGGCCATCGGCAGATTATCCCGGATTCAAACACCAACGCCATGCATGTAAATACTGGGGTCTTTTCAGCACAGGGGGAGATACCCTGGTACCAAGAAAAATTGGTCATAATGGAAGAATTAAAGTTGGTTTCACAAAGGGCAAAGATACCTAGCGACCATTCTAGGAGAAAAGATTCTGTGCTGTAAAAGTTGGAATGGTTAGCAAGAATATTGCAGAAAGAAAGTTTGGGGAAGGTAGGTGGTTTTTGTTAGCTGGTTGAGTTTTATTTCTTTTTGTTGTGATCTCCATGAGATATGTTTTGAGGAGAGAGAAAAAAAGACTACCATAATCTACCATAGGCTAAAGGGCATCACAAAGAAAATCCTGAAATGAGTCCCAATCATTGTGCTGGAAAGAGGTCTTATGGATAGGGGGTTACTGTTTAATGGATGCTTGGAAGGAGATATCAATAGCTACCACAGAGTGGTCTGAGTTACCAAGAAGGCAGTATTGTGAAGCTCGACAAGAGCAAGGAGAGGTGGTAAGAAATAGATCCAGTAGTAAAGAAGTCCATGAAGTTCATAATTTAAGTGAGGGATTGGGCAATGGAATAATTTCATGTCTGTATAAAGTCACTGAAGACAAAGATGTTCGCAGAAAGAGGGAGAGAAAGTGCCTTTTTCTATACTGTCTGCTATTGCATCTAATATACTGCAGTCTTGGGAAGAGGGGGAGTGATAAAAGAAAAAAGAGATAGCTGACAGAGTTTAGTAGAGAAAGACAGAAGCATATGGAAGAGTAGTCAGCTGCCTTGAGAAACAGTTTCCTGGTCATCGGAAGATTATCCCGGATGCAAACACAAAGCGCATGCATGTGAATGCTAGAATCTTTTTGGTAAAGGAGAAGATACCCTGGAATCAAGAATTCATTGGTAGCAATGGAAGAGTTCAAGTTGGTTTCACAAAGGGCAAAGATATCTGGTAACCATTCCAGGAGAGAAGATTTTATGCTGTAGAAGTTTGAATGGATACCATGAATATTGGAGAGAGAAAGATTGAGTCGGGTAGGTGGTTTAGTTTTATTTCTTTGTGTTGTGATTTCCATGAGATGTTTTGAGGAGCGAGAAGAAAGACCACCATAATTATCGCTGTTGTCAATGGCAATACAGGCCAGCCAGTACACGGCTGAAAGGAGATGCATGTGGCCTCAGGGTTGCCCACAAGATATACATGCAGGGACACCTACCCATGCACAATACGACACTACAGATACGCTTATATTACGCGACTGTTGATCAGAGCAACCTCTCTAAGTGCTACCAAAGATTTCTGGCTCCTAACGACCAGTCAGAAGCAGTAGCCAACAAAATGGTAAGCATTAAAGTCACCAAAGTCAAAGATGTCCGCAGACGGGTGGATATAAAGTGCCTTTTCTATACTGTCAGCTATTGAATCTAATATACTGCAGTCTTAGGAAGAAGGGAAGCAGTAAAGGATAAAGAAATAGTGACAGAGTTTTGCAGAGAAAGACAGAAGCATATAAAAGAGTAGTCAGCTGCCTCGAGGGATAGTTCCCCGGTCATCGGAAGATTATCCCAGATGTAAACACCAAAGCCATGCGTGTGAATCTTTTTGGCAAAGAGGAAGATACCCTAGAACCAAGAATTCATTGGTTTGCAACGGAAGAATTCAAGTTGGTTTCACAAAGGTCAAAGATGTCTGGGGACCGTTTCAGGAGAAAAAATAATTACACTGCAGGAATTAGAACGGACCCTAGGAATATTGGAGACAGAGATTGCGAGGGTGGATAGGTGGTTTTTTGTTAGCTGGTTTAGTTTTATTTCTTGATGTTATGATCTCCATGAGATATGTTTTGAAGAGGGAGGAAAAGACCACCATAATTGTTACTATCTGTCGTCAATGGCAATACAAACCAGTCAGTGTGTGGCTGAGATCAGAGTATAATGTGGCCTCAGGTTTGCCCACTAGAAATACATGCAGGAACACCTAACCTTGTCCGTCCTGGGTAAGATGATAAACGACATCCGACAGCAAGGCATTTGATCAGGAGGTTTTTGATATAAAGTGAGATAATATAGAAAAGCTCATTCACTGATTGGTCAGTGTCGACCAATCGGATCGTCTGCACGCGAGGAGTGATTCTTCCCGCGCAGCACTTCTGATCCAATGATCACCTATAAAGGAAAGAAAGAAGTGTAAAACACACCAGTGAGACTTCAGCTGCCACAGAAATCCATGACAGTTGAAGCTATGCGCCAATCTTCTCACTCAACACTCACAAACTGCATATTCCTTTACACTTACATAATCTTTCCTCTTGCACTGCAAAACTGTTAAAAAACATTTATAACAAATTATTAAATCTTTCTTTTCAGAGAACTTCGATAGATAATGATAGTCAAAGAAAGACAACTCTCGTCTTACTCATTGCATGCTTTTTCTTACGCATTCTTTATTGTATGCATTGTTGAATACAATTTTTATATATATTGCCTTGTCCCTTTCTTCACGTCAGTTGGTTTCCTAATCAAAATTAAATAAATGTGGTAGAAATCTGCCACAACAACATTCACTAAAAACTAAAAACCGGTACGAATTTTCTAAAACAATTAAATTAAAAAAAAATGATTTTCTGTGAAGTTAATTCTAATTTTTTGTGAAGTTAATTCTAATTTTTTTTTATTTACGATAATAGCT